CCTGTATCTAATTTTTCCATGTTTAATTATTGGAGTGCCACATTGCTTGTAGTTATTGTTCATGGAGAAGGGTATGCGCTCTAATACTATCTGAACTTACTGTGAAAACATTGTGAATAAGGGCACAACTAACTGTTCAAAGTGTCCATTTATTCAAATTTTAGATGACAGGCACCAATATACCATACCACGGCACCGCCGAGCAATATACCACACTGGGGCGAAGACACCTTAATTCCTGCTGCTGATTCCTTCCCTGTCCAATGAACGGACATTTTGTCAGTTCCGAGTACTAAGAAACAAACCTATCCTAACCTAACCTCCAAACCTAAGGACTTTCTGACAGTTTATACCATGGAGAAAAGGGAATACAAAAGGTACATTTAGGCCTGCTTTATGAATTATTATCCATGTCGTGAACCGGTTTCATGTATATTAGAATACATGGAGAATTTTACAGTTGTTAATTGGCCGCTTAATATGTTTTATACATGGTTTATAAAACCAAGCGTATTCAATATTTTTTTTCTTAACAAACATATATTCCCTTCCCAAACAGAACATTTCAGATTTAAGATGTTAAAATGATTTAAACACACTATATGGATTGTGACCAGACTGGTGTAGGTAATCGTTTAAATTGATATTATTGTACAGATTGGAAAATGATCATAAGACTTGTAAGTTAATTGAAATTGAGTGACTTAAAATTTTTATTATCTGCCATAATTTTATAATACAGGTGGCCGTCTGCAATTTGAAATAATTAAGATTTGCATGTACCGGGTAATAATGCAACATTTTCACCACCACCACCCTCAAGATAAGACATTTGAATACAGACGTTCGTATGTGGTGTCTGGGGGAGGGTCTGATTTGGGGCACGTAGAGGACTGGATAGAAGGGACAACACGTTTCCGTTTTCTATTGTACTTGATTGCACTTATATTTTTTGATTTCCTTCAAGCAAACGAAAGAGCCAAGAAAATGAAAAGGCGGACGATATGGAAGAGTTCTCAAAATACTTAGCAGAGATGCTACCACAAGAGTTAGTCGCAATGAAATGGATTCACCGGATAATCAAAAAATTATTTGGAATACATTCAGTTCGGGGCGAAAGGAAAATCAAAAAGATGTGTACATTACTCAAAGAAGCAATTCTTAAATCCAGTTGTGGAAATAATGCGACCAAAAATGGACTTCCTGTCCTTATGGGGAAATTTTTTGGTGACTTTGTACTCACAAACCTTATGTGTTATAAGCATTACCCTCATGAGTATATAGAAAAGATTGGCAACGATGCAATTCAAAAGTTCTTTGGCCATTTTTATCCAGCGAGGAAAGATGCGGCCACAGGCATAGAGTACAAGTTTGTGGGTAGCTTTTTTGACGGCCTTGGGACCCCTTTTTTGTTTGACTGGGAGCATAAAGCTCACCTTGAAATATCAGATGGGGATGTCATGTTAGTACTAACACCGCCATATTTCCCCACTGTCACGTCTCGTAGAGAGCGGGTGACAACAACAGAAGCAGCGTTGTTCGTGGATGGCCATGGCTGTCATCCAAGTTATGTCAAACTTAAGTGCCAGAGCGAAAATCGTTTGCTTCGTGAACCAGGCATTTTGGAACGTGATCAAACTGGGGATGTATGTCTGAGCAACAGAATCATGCAATATTGCGTCAAAAACCCGATGCCAGGGTTTGAAAAACTGAAAATACTTTGGAAAATGCTAAATATCAGTTTTAATGGTCCTGCAGTATCATACAAATTGCCAATTTTTTCTGGTGTCAAACGCAACATTGTTCTGACAGGCGATATTGTTGGGTCACTTCCGTGGAATGAGTTTCCTCGTGCGGCAGATGAATGGCTTAGTCGCAAGAGAAAGAGTGGTTGGCCAAGTGCGGAGCAAATCAGAGCCGTGAAAGAACTTGGATGTCATCTTGTTCCAGTCGCCAATCCTGGTGATCGAGATTGCCGAACTGAATGGAGGATCTCTTTTGCTTTAGGTGAGCGCCATCTTGCTTTGTCATTAAATGAAGTTCAGCGCCATGTTTACCGTATCATTAAATTGATACACAAGCAACGATTAGGAGACCTCGGCGTCCTTTCTACGTACCATTTAAAAACAACGTTATTCTGGTTATTCTGGTTATTCTGGTTCCACAGGATAGTTGGACAGTTGAAAAAATGGGGGAACGTTTTTACGATTTTCTCAACCTTTTGTTTGATTTTCTCTCCAAGAAGTGCATCCGAAACTACTTCATACCGGACAACAACATGATAGATTACATGGATGAACAATTAGTCAACGAAAACGTTTACATTTTGTACGACATCCGCCACAATCCAAAAGCAATCCTCGTAGAAATCCAAGCAACATATGACCTCCACTTTGATCCAGTGCTCTACTTACTGTCAGACACTCCTTTTGGAGATATTTTGCAGGAGTTTCAAACACAGAAGGTGCGTGCAGGATCACCAGAGGGTAAAGGCACAGGAGGCCTGCTTAGAGCCACGAGGGAGATACTGATCGACTCGTCGGAAAATGACTCGGACAGTGTCTTGGGGGCAGTCGGGGGAGCGGCAGACGCCTTTTCACGGAACGACTCGGACAGTCCCTTTTACCTTATAAAGGAAGTTGGAAAGGGGTTGTTGAAAATCGCCTTGAAAGATAAAGTCGAAGAAAGATCAAAACGGACAATTCATTCAGCATGCAATGACCAGCGTGGGACGGCAGCAAGAAGAAAGGTGGACAGTCCCCAAACACCGAACATTACACAGACCACAATACAAAGGAAGCATGTCATAGTGACTGACTCAATAGGAAAGTACCTTGATGGCAACAGGATGGGCAGATTCTACGTGAAAGTACTGAGAGAAAACACTATTGCAGACGCACATGACTATGTAATCAAATCAAACCTGGGAAATCCAGAATCTTTGACTTTTATTGTGGGGACAAACAGCATTGATCACCAAAGTGTTGCAGACACCGTCTCAGAGCTACACCAGCTGCGAGAAACAGCAGGAATGAAATATCCAGACTGTGAAATATATTTCACAGGGATCCTGGATCGTCAACATAATCAAAGTTTTAACAGGAGAGCAAAGCGGTACAATGACACTGTTGAGACAGAACTCAGAGGTCATCAGAAAGCACATTTCATCGCAGTGAATGAGGTAATTAACTCCCCAGATCACTACAGGGAAGATGGAATTCACCTCAGTAGGAGGGGCACAAGCCTACTAGCACAGTGCATAATGGCTTCGCGCACTACTGATCCACCGCCATTTCCTACCCACCGTCCATAAATTTTAAACCAGGATAGACTAGACAAGAGATTCTTAGCAAATTAAAAGAGATCAAGATCATTTTGACCGTTTTAGCCCCAGTATTGTATTGTATTGTATTGTAGTATGCTTTGCTGCACTGTAGTGTAAAGGTATAGTGGATTTATGCAGTAGACGGTACTTCTTGTGTCACATCACACCTACAACTTCCGTTACTTTGTTCTTGCCGAATGAAATGAGTTGAATTATGTATCACTTCTTTTCAAGACAGAATGAATGGCAGCAATTTTAAGCTTTTCTGGTTTAAATATCACATTAGTCCAATGTATTTAAAGATATAAATCCAGCGTCACTTGGTGTGTCAGTTAACATGTATTGGTGCATATATATTTTTTTGATAAAATATCTCTTAAAGAAAAAAATCTCCTATATTAATTTTTGAACTATGAAATTAGGTGAAATTAGGAGTTAATATCATAGTAATTATTATTGTTGTAGTAACGGTATGTGATAGGAATATGATAAAATTTTAACTCTGATAAAAATATAAAATTTGTTCAAAGGATACATTTATACATACGGATAAAGCATCACAAATTAAAATTTGGCATAACTGTTTAGATGACATAATTGAGTTTAAGGAAAATGTTTTTTATATTCCCGGAACATTTATTGTTCACGTTGATGTAATTTTTAAAATAATGTACCATTATTTTTTATAAAGAGGCGATGGCGTGTGGAATTCTGCACCAATTCCACATTGTATAATCATAATAGTCAACATGTTATTATCTAGTTTGCGTCTGTACTGCATACATAAATATTATTTTCTGTAGAGGCCCATAGGTAGGCCTATGCCTGAGACAGATGCATATCAGCTGTTAATATTGCACAACAATTAGTATGTAAATAAGTAGCATAAGTAATACCACTTGTACGTATAGATTCCCTGTAGATAGTGTGTATAAAATTTGAATGTTGTACATAATAAAGACACTTTTAGACTTGAGACTGAAGATGTAAGGTTATTCTGTTATGCTTCTCTGTGCACGTAAAGTGAAAGACTGAGTCGAATCTGGAGTCATGTCGGAGCCCATAGATTAGTTAATTCGTTAATGGAAATTGATACACTGAAGATCAGTACAGTTATAAATTAAAGTGAAAGTCATTTTGGACGGTTCACAACGCATTTGGGAAGTGGTCGGACATATTGATAAGTGGCACTTTCGTTGCTCTGATATGTGCTGGATTTGTGACATACATATGATCATTTAAAGTGGGCGAACTGCCATTAATCCTTATTTTGGTTTATCATTTGCTTCATGTTCAGAGCATTTATGATTTGGTTCCATTTGATGGGAATGTTCTTTGGTTTGAGGAAATCTAGATTTAGGTCTCCCATGATAATCATCTCCCATGATAATCATTTGGTTTGGTGTATATTCAAATGGAATTAAAATTTTGGAAAACATCAGGCAAATCAAAACCCTCTGCAGCATTAAGTTTCACAAACAAAGGCAATAAACACAGAAAAAAGCTACGAAGATGGCTATTAACACAAAATAACAGATCACTTATTAGTATTTTTTTAATTATAGCTCAATGTTCGATATACAACTAAAATCCATAAATGTTTAATCCGTTGTTGAAATAGCCCTTCTTACATATTAGCACACCTTTACTCCATTATAATTATACTATACTCCATTATAAATTGTATTATCTATTTATATAAGAAGTGGAAGCGATGTTCAATTTGGGCAGATCCTTGCTAAAAGAAAACAGAGAGTTTGGAATACATTAAAACAGGAAGTTCAATAAAATAAGTGAGTCCTATATACTAAATTAAATGAAACTCTCTAAGTCTATTCAGTTTGTCCATTTGGCTTGTTGATCAAATTTATAAGTTCCGAATCTATCAGCAAAGCAGCACTCAGCAAATGTCTTTCTTCGACTTCATTCAATTTTTCTTCTCATCTCATCAGTTAATCAGGGTGCAACTGCTCTGAAAAAAATAATTCCGAAAATCCATAAGTATTCAGAGTCTAGGTAGATGCCCCATATTCCATTCATAACATCTCATTTTGAAATAAAACGATAGGTGAGGACTTCCTATCCAAGTTCAATAGTAACCACGGGCGCATCACCGCCAGCTTTGTAGATATAAGGGAAAGAAAAATTGCAAAGTGCAGTTCATCATGAAAAGCAGGTCAAAGGTCAATTGAAAAAAATAGACACCACCTTCCGTGTTGGGCTTGACAAGCTCTATGAAATGAAAAAAAAAGAAAAATAAAAAAAAAACAAGAACTCTCTAACATTAACGGTTCCAGAATTAGAGAGAGTTTTCAGTTTCGGCATATAATGGTCGTTTCTCCCGAGAAAATGCACCTATCGACCCCAAACTCACGGAGATAAAAGATTACCCTAAGGGTAACATCTGTCAATAATATTATAGGTTAGGTCTGTGTAGTTTCTGATAATCGGCACAAACAAATATTTTTTTGCAGAAAATTCCCGTTTGACCTTTCCATAAAGGTCAAAAATCAAATCCAAGGGCATTTTGGAATCTTCACGTAAGACTTTCCGTCAGACTTCTAGTAATTTTTCCCATAATTCCTTCGGTTTGGGGGATATTTAGCATTGAATTCTGAAAAAATTTGACAAGGGTGCTTTCAACGAATGTCACCCCCCCCCTCAAAAAAAAAAAAAAAAAAAAAAAAAACAAACAAACAAACAAAAAAAAACAGGGGGTTCAAGTTGAGATTGTATGTGACCTAAATCCAAGAGATGGGGACACAGGTTCTTGCGGGCTAAGAGGAGAAGCGGTAACGTCGGATCAGTACGAGACGGGTCGGAACTAAAACCATTAGTACCGCCAGCATACGCGCTGGTGGTACTAATAAAACGCGGCTAATTAAATTACCGTTGACAAAAAATAACATATCAATACAATACACTTTTTTCTACAAAATGAATATTTTCCGTCCTTGAATTATTTACAAAAATGTGACTGTGACTGCATCTTTATATTGAGCAAAACAGCAGGAAATAGAAAATTTGTGCATCTTTTTTTTTAAATTGCAACTCAACCGTTGACACTGATGGAGATGTAAAGAGGGATAGTTTGATCAATATCAATTTTTATGTTCAGATTCATCTCAATAGATTCTATAAAAAAAGTAAGAGTCGATGTTCTTTTTAGATAAACTTATCCCTTTACTACAACATTTGATTTTAAATGTTAATGATAGAGGTTAAATAACTTACCGAGTAAAGAACGGTGGTTAAAGTGCAGTAACATTTGTTGTTACCACAGCAACCTCTGTATGTCTTTGCAGTGGACCAAAAGCCAGTAGAATATGCACTGCTGCACAAAGCTGTGCAGGGATTCACTCTGACATTATACTCTGCCACCGTGCCTGAACTGACTTTAACCACGCTAGCAGTCGAGGAGCAGATAGATGGCGACACTGTAACAAAATGAAGACGGATCATTCTGCATTCCTTTGTCTTTTGTCTTATATATAAATGACATGCATTAAGGCTCCATATTTGTAATTTCAAGAAAAGAGAACACGGATTTTCAACCAAAATACTTAAATCTTACATGAATATATAAAATATGTTTTCAGTGTAAGTTTATATGTACAGTAATTAAAAAGATTATGCCTAGCTGAAGAACAGAAAAACAAAAGTTGGAGTGATAAATAGTTCGTCATAAAGTAAAAATACCCCATGGTAATGTACACGGTACGCTGAACATCATCAGCATCGCCACGTAATAACAAATATAACGATGTTATCTTGGTCACAACCGGAAGCACGAATTTCAGAATCGTACGTCCCATGCGATTTTTGGGTGTTGCGGAGGCAGTGGAGGTCGTAGAGGTAGAGGAAAGTCTGCCTTGCGAGTCGCAAGGGCCACATGAGATGTTCTTTCAAGCAGGGACGCTAAATGCAAGGAGCGATGGCCGTGGAAATTGTACTCATTTCTTGAGTTGGTATTGCTTCCTGTGTACGTGACAAAGACTCACCACTTAAGAAGGGAATACAACGCACGGCGAAAGTAGTGCCCTTTTGCGTCAGTTTTGCTTCACACTTGCCTCACACGTTTGTGGTGACGTACTGACGGCGTACGTCAGTTTTGCTTCCTGTTCTCCTCTTTTTTCTTCTTCCTCCTCCCTTTTTTCCTACTATGTTAGCTTCTTTCTATTGCCTTTTGAAGGCATATTAGAAACTATATTGAGAAAAAATTTGAAATTTTTGAAAATTGTTGTACACTTTACACAGTCGACGTTCATTGTAAAGAAACGAGCGTGCGTCGTGAGCACGCCTTTTATACACCAGGAGTGGGGGTGACGCACGTGCGACGCATTTCCGGTGTGCTCTCGACTTTGTTCGTTAGTTGTGAGGGCGTGCGCCTTAAACCTAGGTCTCAACCGAACGTACGGGCTGCTACGTGTGGTCTACGGCCAAATAAATGGGGAAAACTTGGGAGTTCGTGCGTGAGGAGCACGTCCATCGTACGACTTTTGGAGGATGCAAACAGCACGTAGTATTTTTTCGACATGATCAACAGCCGCTACGTTCAATCTAGCTACGTCCTAGCCGGACGCAAGGAACTAAAAAACCGTGCGTCCAAAACGTAGTTGGGACCAAGGCTTTACTCAACACGCAAAGGGCACTTGCTCTTTCATTGCTTGCGACGTGCGTCTTGCACAACGCGCGTCTCTCTTGCTAACTCCGTGCAAGGGGAGCAAGTTACGCTTGCGGCCTCGCCGTTCGCAGGCTATCCGTAGAATCTTTTGGACATGTCCAACATCCTCCGTAAATGCTTACGGGCTGTCTGCGAACTCCAAATTTCTTAAGAAGTACTTGCGTGGGACGTGAGATTCTGCGCAAAATTTGGACGCAAACAGCCCGTAAGAGCCCGTACGGCCGCTTGTGACCGAGGCTTTACTGCAGTAAGAGTTAAAGCGAATTGCAAGCTGGTGAGAATTAAAAGGCAAATGTATCCTTACAATTAAATTTTATGGCATTAACATCAAACATGTATCAAAGTTCAACATTAGTAATTTCAAGACAAAAAGACCAAGGGATTCCAACTAAATTTTGTTTTGAATTGTCAGTTGAAAGAATAAGCTGCCGCATTATACATGTACCTGTGGTTTTAAAGTGCTTTAATTACCATAGTAATTCCTGTAAATTTTTATTTTAATGTTAAAACATGCACAAAGTGTTGTGTATCATTGAAAAATGTATGCAATACAACACTTTCAAGCATTTTACACCTCTTAAATTTCTTTAAAAGAGTTAAGACTCACATGTAGTGGGGGCGGTGGTGGTTGCCTCGGTGGTGGTAGTCTCAGTGGTGGTAGGCTCAGTGGTGGTAGGCTCAGTGGTTGTAGTCTCAGTGGTGGTAGGCTCAGTGGTGGTAGAATCGGTGGTTGTAGTCTCAGTGGTAGGCTCAGTGGTGGTAGAATCGGTNTGAACAGCAGCGGTTTAAATGATCGCTATCTCGGTTATTTTTCCTTTGACAGCATCATAGAAAATGTTAAGGGAGAAAGTCACACATACCCACGGCGTTGTTTTGTCTTCAGCATTTCCTCCTTCCTGCTTACTGCAATTATTATCGTCAATTAATTAAACCTAGAAAGCAATTAAATGATGGCACATTGAATATAATCACTATGTGCATTTCGCTGAGTGTAAACACGATCTAGCGAAACATTTTATTTCAGAATAAATTTATATGTGATTTCACCTCTGTCGTTTGTGTTATTTCAAACAAAACGATTTCCTGAAATACCAACTTTAAAATGTATGTCTATTCAGCAAAATAATGTAATTTAATACAACTATGAGTAATGTATTTAAACTACGGCCGTATATGCGATGGCCATGTGGGATTATAATTGCATACCTTGATGCAAAACAGTCTATCGTTTCTCCTACCGCGAGTCCCTTTAATTAATGTATTATATTACTCTTTACCCTTTTTATTTGACACTGTCTCTGTTTCTCTCCCCTTTTCCTTTCTCTTGTAAGAAGGAGGGCAAATAATTAAGCATTCAAAATATGCATCACCAATCTTAAGAAAAGAATGAGTGAATGAACCATTGGGCTGGCCCACAACGTCCGACACAGCAGAATAAATTAAATAACAGCTTTCACAGATTTAACTGCAGTTAGCTGTATAGCGTCACTATATACATAATCCGCTGCACGCGCGAAGCTGTTGAACAAAAGGATAGTTCTCTATGGAAGACCTTTTGTTTACATAAGTACTCTAAGGGGGCGTGCCTAACCAGGCGACAAGACGATTAGGCTAGTCACTATATTCCGTCAAATTCGTTTAGCGACCCTATCATTATCACACTCCCTCTATTGTATTTTCTGACGTTATAATTGTATCTAATCTTCTTACGTTAGATGGAATAAATGCACACATACATAATCTTATGACTGTAAATCTTCATCACTCCTTGAAATGAGGTTACTATTTTCCTTGCTTGTATTTCCGATATACCGAATTTTGATGGGATTTAGACGGCTCTCCATTGTTTGTCCGCCACTACTATTCACAGGATAGGGATTAAAGCATTTCAAACGTTTTTAAAACGTTGTACAACGGAAACATAATTATTATTACTACTGTAAGAGAGTTAGGATAACAACGATCAATTTCCACAATTATTTCACTGATTTACGAAATATCTATACATTACATTTATCTTACGCTACCCTCTTACTTCATTATATTCATCATGATGTTTTATTCATTTATTTTAATATTTTTTATTCAAGATTTATTAAAATCAAAAAGCGTTTTACTTACTGGGGAAGGTAAATAATTGAAGTAGCAGATGCACCTGCTGGCCAACGCACCAATCCCACAGCACCCGGCAAGTTCAGGGCTGATATTATTACAATCGTAACTGCAGCCGCTTGAAGAGACCGGGCCTATAAGCGCCCCATCAAGGTACAACCATGAGCAATCTAGTAAGAAAAAAATTGAAAAAAAAAAACTTAATAAAATAGCATAATTTGTTTAGATACGAAAACGCTCAGCGCGAGATTCATTTTAAAAGAAACCATTTACTTATTACAATTTTGGTGAATAATCATAAAAAAAATTGTTACTCAAAATACATTTTTTTTCGTGAAATGTCTCATTTTGTATTCCCTGCGTTCAGTTGGACGACTTAAACTGAATACACTTTCCATAAAATTTATTAGTAGAATAGTGCTTAGTATTGCCTTTGCTTTAAATACCTAAAAAAAATAATCAAAAATAAATATAAAATTCCTCTATTGTGAAATATATGGGATTTGCGGTGTTTTGATGTATATCTGATGTGGTAAGAGAGTAAAAAGTTGAGTTATTACCTGTCTGTCCTTGTACAGTGGTTGGTGGACCTGAAAGAAAGAGTGAATTATCATGAATATTCTATGGATGTTTCTCTACAGATTGGGTCATTAGATGTTTTACAATAAAGTGGTAAATACAAGTATATCCGTGATCAAAATTGAATAAAAACATGTAGGCTGGAAAAGAACAGTTTAACTACTGTTTGTTTGATTATATTTAATCTCCCACACCATTTTTACACTTAGTGCAAAATTACATTTTACAACAAATCTTAAAAAAAAACACAAAAAATACATAGCTATCGTCAATTTGTTACTTCCCATTCCAAGCACTCACCCAACGTTACAGAAATGTACAAAGTAAAGACAAGATGCACGAACACTTTCACTGACAAACACATCCTAAGTTGTTGTTCTGTTGCAGACATTACTAAATCTGTCCAGAATGAACATGTAGAAAACCCCCGGTCGTTTATATAGCCTGTCACCATACAGAATCTAATTTGCTGTCCACGCCCACTTTGTTGCTTACGAACGTAGCATGTGGTGTAACAAATTATACTATCTTCCCGTTACTTTTGTGATGTGAGCTGTCTGTCACTGATAACTGTATAATAAATACCCCAATGATAGCAGGCCTACCCAACTACCAGACTCGGCACCTAAGGATCCTGAATTAACCGGTATATCGGACCACACTACCCGTTTTCAAGGTGTGTGTCAGATCGCATTTCGGAGTATCAGTCAGAACACCGACAGGATGAGCCCTGGCTTGCTCGGCTGTCACCTTGATTGGATAGTAAACGATTGTCGTAAAATCGCTATATGATTTTAAAACCGGGTGCATAAATTTGAAAGCCACTTAGATGAACCTTAGACTGCCACATTAATCTTATACAATGCAAAAAAGCCCTATCAAAAGTGGTTAAAACATTCAAACCGAATGTCGTAAAGTCCCCATATATCCCCATAGAGACAATAAAATAGAGTACTCTAAAGTAAGAGTACATTTTAAGGTTGTTCAGCCGAGCGTGGATGAGC